TCTCTCTAGTGCCTCACTTGGTCTTGGTGCTGCCCTGGGTCCCGCCTTACTCTCCTTCACCTAGGGGTTTGTAGAGTGAGTGGTCCCTGTGGATACATGCTAACAACAGTTAGCTCCTCATTTGCTTCAACTGAGATCCCCTGGCAAAAATGCTGGTCAGTCTCTGCTGCTTGTTTTAGTTGTCCTTCCATCCCGAGGGTAGATTCTGCCCACCTCTCAACCCTAACAAAGTTCTGCTGCTAACCCAAGCACAAGTTACCTGATGTCTCTAGCTCCATCCCAGAAGTCTGCTGTCCTCCTTATACATGCGCCTTAGCAAGCTCATCTCATGCTTGGGTCAAACCTCATGTAAAATCTAGCCTAGCAGGGCATTTTCTCACATTATCTTTATGGAACTTAAGAAGGACTAATTTTCACAAGACTAATTTCCCAAATAACTTTCCATAGATTTGTTACATTGTAATAGTTAAGTTTGTGAGGTGACAATCACATATATCCTTCCACATGATTTCATCGTGTCTAAAGATAAATTTATTTGGTGTACAAAATAAAAGTAATAAAGTTTCTCTGTTAACTATTAACTTAATCTCTTACAAATGACAAACTGATAGTTGTTCCTTGGTATCCCATCTTCCCTTCTTTCTTCAGTAATAAGCTTCCTAAGTTGTAGCTGAGCAAATGGCTGCCCAGATAAGGACATTTCCCAGCCTCATTTGCAGTGAGGTGCACGCCTGTGACTAAGTTCTAGCCAATGGGAAGTGAGAAGTGACCCCTTTGGATGTGCTCTTAAAAAGAATGGTTATATCTCCTCTACCTCATTTCTCACTTCTTGCTGTTGCAATGTGGGCCCATAACTGGTGAGCCATCTTCAACCATGCAGACAAGTGCATAGAGCCACAACACAGAGAAAGCGTGGATTCCTGAAACCGTATCTCCACAGGCTGTTTAATCTCCCAAGAAATAAACAAAGTTCTTGCACCTTAAAACCATGAAGAGATGCGAATGCTCTGGGTGCCTAGGAGAAGACATTGTTTGGCCCTACGAGAATCTACTAGACTGGCTGATCTGCAGAAAACTCTGACTAAATCATATTGACTGACAGCTGAACAGAACCATGAAGTAGAATATTCTTATTTGAGTCAGAGTCCTAGCAGGAAATAGACGGTACACTCAAGTTAGGATAATTTGAAGAGAGTTGAATAAAGGAACTATTTAGAAAGGTGTAGGCAGGTTAAAAGTGTGGGAAACTACAAGAGCTAATGCAATACTTTGGAGCCAGAAGCAATAGGGCCGCATACTCTATTAGGCCCGAAGAGGCAAAGGATTGAGCTGTTAGTGGAACCAGGTTTCAGAAAGGACTATGTGGTGAGGGCTACCTGATAGGAGCTGGGACCTTCCGTCAAAATATGCAGCCAGCCCCACTGAATCCACAGGGAGGAATCCAGGGAATAACACCCTACCTCACTATTCTCCCACCCTCTGACCAACTGCCATGATTCATTATTAGCTAAAATCAACTGGAACCAGATGGCACGAGAGCCCATAATGCAGGCCATACAGGTCATGGCACAGAGTAGCATGGAGAAAGGTGGTGAGTAGCTCTGGAAGTAAAAAGGAGGATCTTCATTTGTATAGCTCTCCACTCAACTTCTTTCCACAAACATCTGGAGGCTGCTTATTTTAAACAAAATATATAACATAAAGAAATAACAAGGAAGAAAAAGAATCTACAAAGGCCTTGCCTGCAAGGGTTAATAGAGAATTGCAAAAAGACTGCACTATAGGCAAACCTACAGAGACAGAAAGCAGATTAGTAGTTGCCAGGGATTGGGGCAGATGAGAATAGGGGGTGGCTGCTTAAGGTTTGGAACTAGACAGAGGTGATGGTTAAACAACATTGTAAATGTACTATATATGATGCTGACTTGCACAGTCGAAAGTGGTTAACTATATGTTATGTGAATTTTGCATAAAAAATATGACTCTGAACTTCTGGAAATCAGGACGATTAAAAAAAAGGTTAAATACGCAGTTACCACTGTTGGAAAGGAGAAAGGAGCCCTTATGGTGGAATTAAAGATTCTTCTAGCAGAGAGTTCTAAAAGATATCTCTTCCATGGGTTTTATATATAGACGATACTAATGAATATAATGGGTAATGTTCTCAACACATTTCTATAATAAGATGCAGAGGTGGTTTCCAATGGCTGTTCCTTCATCAAAGTTGAGGCATAAGGTTAAAAAGCAAATTAATGATGGTGTCTCTATAATGGGACAAGCTAATGTGATGATGAACTTGATATAAAGACAGATCCTAGGGTGGACAGGCTGGATGTCCCTCTGGGCATCTTTCCTAGATATCAATCTTTCCTCT